GAGCCGGCCTGTGGTCCCAGAACCCCGCGCGCTTTGGTTCCCGGTTCCCTGTAGCGGCAGGCGACAGCGTTCTGGCGGGTCACCACCCGGCCCTGCGAGCTTCCTGCCGTCCGCTTACTCCTGGCGGTGCCCGATGCCCGGGTCCAGACGCGCGGAAGAGGCGTGCACAGAGCTCTGCGTCTGGACGGCGGCTGTGCCAGGGGAGGATGCCTGGGACAGTCCAGGAGACTGTGTCGGGGGAGGGTGCCTGGGACAGTCCAGGAGACTGTGTCGGGGGAGGGTGCCTGGACAGTCCAGGAGACTGTGTCGGGGGAGGGTGCCTGGGACAGGGCTTCCTCGGGGGTGACAGACAGGTGTCTGTTTCAGGACTGAAACCACAGAGAGCAGCGAGCGCTGTAGCCTAGAGCCTCGTTCTGCACAAGTCAAGCAAGAGCTGAGTTCCAAACGCTGGAAAGCTGAGAGGGCTGGGAACGCGGACCAGCCAGGGCCGGCTCCTCCAGCAGGAGAGCGCCCCCTCCCCTTGCTTCCAGGGTTCTTCAGACTCTAAGAGTGCAAGGGGCTTTCCTGACCACTCCCCGGTGACCTTTCCCTGGATTGGTTCCCGCGGTCTTTATCGCCACTGACTTCATGCAGGGGCAATTCTGCCTTTTGGCTGATTCCCATAGATGGGTGAGGGATAGTTCTGCATTTTCGGCTTATTCCCAAAGAGGGTGTCTGGTCCACAGGATGGTTTGGCATGGCGTTGCAGGCTCCCCTGAGGGTCGGGGAGAGCCGCTCTTCTCCGAATGGCTTTGCCGATGCCCGGGAAGGCTCAGGATCGCAAGAGGGAGAGGACCTCGGCGCGGGAGCCGGGAAACAGAACCAGCTGCAAGGGCGAAACGTTCACCGTCTTGTTCTTTCTCCTTCGCTTTTGTTACGGTTATGATGACCAGCTCTCACGCGCTCCAGCCATGCTGCATGGCAGGGCACAGCACGAAAGCAGAGCCCATGGGCTGCCGGCTTGCCGGGGAGGCCAGAGACCAAGGAGGCGCGAGGGCGCCGCTGCGCATCTGGAAACCCGGCATTCTACCAAGGAACTCTTCCTGGCTTCTATCAATCGTCCCCCAAACATTTCACATTTCAAAGACATGCCTTTCCTGTAAAGCATAAAAGAAACTGACCCGTTAGCGTAGTTTTTATAAAACAATAACTTACAACTATAATGATCTACATTTGTATACAATTTCACCATTTTATAGAGGGGTATCTCACTGTAGGTTGTTTGACCCATAAGATCCTACTACCCAATCATGGGTAAATGAAAAAAAAGTTTTTTCATTTCGTTGATGACCTTCTTCCAGTTCACAATATTAAGTGGAGTAATAACAGAATTATTAATTATTAATTTACAAAAAGAATGTGGACTCCTTATTGTCTAGTTCTACCTCTCAGAGAACCTGGCAAGCTACCAACAGAATCCTGCCCACGCAGCAGAGCCTGGCAAGCTCCCCCGTCGTGTATTTGATATGCCCAAAACAGTAACAATGATGTGTCTCATTCCCCTGACCCGGAAAGAGCCTCCAATAAGGCACCTTTGGGAAGGATGTGTAAGGAGAGGCTGCTAAAATCTCAGGGCTAGGACGAATGGAGATGTTACTGGTGCCCACTTGAGCAAATGGATGAACAACGGGATGACAGCAATACAGTGAATAATATTACTATTTATTTAAGGTAAAGGTAAAGGCCCTCCTCGTCGATTTGCTTGAGCGGGCCCAGTAAGTCTCCATTGGAGACTTTGTTGTTACTGTGTCTGGCATATCGAATACTCTCGGTAGCTTGCCGGGCTCTCCGAGAGGGGTGGAGGAATCGAATTCGGGTCGGCCATGTTGGCCGCTTGTAAGGCGAATGCCCTACCCGCTGGAGAGGTATAATTAGCAGAGCTCTCAAGCTGAGGGGATCCCCAGCTCATTATTTCCAGGCTCTGACCCGAGGTTCCTATCTCCCGCTATTTGAACCATTTCCCTGCATCCATATATTTAACTGAATATTTGAATTTTTAAATTAACAAAACATTGCACATGTTTTGTGAGCTTCTCAGAAAAAAAATGTTTCTGGGACATCCCCAGTGGTGTTCAGGACTTACTCCTGACGCTATGCTCAGGGATCATTTCTGGTTGCAATTAGATGAGGTTCTGGAGATGAATCCAGGGTCAGCTGCATGCAAGGCCAAGCCATCTCCCTGTTCTCAACAGGGCAAAAGCTTTAAGTGTATAGCCCATTGATTGATCACACTTATGTGCCCTGAAATGATGACCATCATCACTTTAGCTAGGATTTCATCAACTTATGGTTAGCATTGATTTTCTTGGTGAAAACATTTAAAATCTACTCAGAAAAGCCCCAGAATATATGTCACAATACAGTATTGTTCACTATAGTCACCATATTGCAGGGCATGTTCCCAAATGTGTCCATTTTGCACTGGAATGCTTGATCAACCCTCTCAAGGAAGTTTCTTTTTCATTTTTATTTGTTTGTTTTGGAGCCACACCCAGGAGTGCTCAGGGCTTACTCCTGGTTCTGTGCTCAGGACATCATTCCTGGCAGGGCTTAGGTGCAGAGATCTGGGTGTTTATGCAAGACAAGCTGTTCTATATCTCGGTTCCCAAGACAGTTTCTTAATCACTTTTAGCATTAATTTCCTCAGATTTAAAGTGGGGACAAACACACCCTCATGGAGGTTGAGTATGGTAATTAGGCTAGGTTTTGTGCATAAAATACCAAGTACAATGACTGTGGGGAGAGCTAGATCCATTGCATCTGGCCGCTGCCTGCCTGCCACACCTGAAATTAATCAACATTGTCTCTTATTTCACTATTTTACTTGTCTTTCATTTTACTATCTTCAGTTGCTTTCTTCCTCTCAACTCATGACCAGAACAAGTTTTCCACTCTCTGTTCGCCTTCTTTCTGGTGAAATAATAGCTTTAGGATAACTTTAGGGATATAATTTGAGAAGCCAAACTTACAGATTCCAATAATACTAATATTATTATAAAGTTATAAATATATATTTGTGTATTATTATAAAGATACAAAAATAGTGTTTTTTAGAGTCTACCTTATTTCTCATTTTCTAATTGCCTCAATGTCTTGTCAATTTACTTCTCTGCATTTATCTTCCAATCACATTTTTCTACACTGTTCTATTTTGCTCATTCCTCCCCTACTAATATTAAACAGAAAACAAAAACAACATTTTTTCAAAATTAAATAATTTTATGCATTTATGTAGCACTGTAGCACTGTCCTCCCGTTGTTCATTGATTTGCTTAAGTGGGCACCAGTAACGCCTCCATGGTGAGATGACTTGTTACTGTTTTTGACATATTGAATACGCCAGGGTAGCTTGCCATGTGGGCGGGATATTCTTGCCAGGCTTTGTCCTGCGGGCACGATACTCTCAGTAACTTGCCGGGCTCTCGGAGAGGACCGGAGGAATTGAACTCAGGTCAGCTGCATGCAAGGCAAATGCCCTATCCGTTGTGCTACAGCTGCAGCATTAATTGCATACATAATTTACACTTAGGTAATTTCTATGTAATTCATTTATTTAATTCAATGCATCCTCTTTATTCAAGGCTCTTGGACTAATCGGGTGAGTAAATCATACAATTTCCCTGGAGATGAGAATCTGGTATCTAAGGGTTCTGTCAGGCAAAAACAGACTTTACTGAGATGTGAACTATGTAATGTACTGAAAACGATCAGAAATACCCTTGAACTCAAAATCTTCAGGAGAATATAGCTAAGAGTTCTAAGGACTTTTTTTAAAAGTCCTTCTTACAATTCTTTTAAAAGAATCAGATCTCCAAACCTGGTGACAATTCAGCAGAGAATTAAAGCAAGGGACATCTACACAGACACAAAGACATCTACATGGATTTCTCTGGGCAATGAGGTCAGCCACTCAGGTGCCTGAATGATGTCCCTTAATGGATGACAAGGTACCCTATTAGAAATGTGTGAACTAATCGAGAGAGAAGTAGAAAGATAAGCACAAGAGAATTGTTCAGAGTGCATTCAAATTTTCAGGGTCCTGAGGAAATGGAGAGTCTGGAAGATACTCATTCTTCTAGGACTTGCAGGCAAGGATTAATGCACTGCCCGATATGGCTTGGGTGGACCTCTCTGCATCCTTAGATGGACAGGAAGGGAGGAATATCTGGAGTCTTAGAGGATTCAGGGACACTGAAAAGCTGGTGGGGATCACTGTGGAAGTAAATTGGAGGAGTTTAGTCTTGAGGTTCGAGATCTTTTATTAATCACCCGGCTAAAGAAAATAAAGTTGGCGTCTGGATATAAAGTTTTGAAGTTGAAAAAGAATAGGGCTAGAGATTTAAAAGTTCTCAAAGAATAGCAATAGAGAATTTGATAGGCAATAGGTATAGTTTAATGAGATCATTAAGATTTCGTTGGAAACAAGCCCAAACCAAACCAAACCCGAAACCCCGGGAATCTCTTAGGCGACTAAGCACAAGGACCAGAGTTTTGAGGACCAGAGGGCGAGCAGAACAAGCAGGGGCTTCCCTTTCATGCAGCTTTGAATCCATGGTGCCATGGAAGTTCGAGGAACCTCACCAGGAGTAAGCCCTGGGCTTTGCTGGATGGAGCCTAAAGGCGAAACAAAGGAAGAGAAAGAAAGGAAAAGAAGAAAGAGAGAAAGGAAGGAATTTTGAAGCAAATTTCAGAGAGAGAGAGAGACAGAGACAGAACCAAAAACGAGTAAGGCCGCGTACGTGGTCTTGGAAACACCCCGAGAGCGGGCGGCGCCCCCAGCCCGGGTGACGTCTGGCCGCCGGCGGGCGCGGCTGGGGAGGGCGTGGCGGGGGCGGGGCGGGGGCGTCCGGCGGGGCCGGGGCCTGCGGGCTCCCGCCAGGGCCCGGCGCGTGTGCGTGTCCCGGCCGCAACAACAGGCTCGTGCCCGGAGCGGAGCGCGCGGACGCGGCGGGCGGGCGGGCATGGCGGCGCCCTGCAGGAGCTGGCTGGCCAACGAGGCCCTCAAGCACCTCTGCCTGGTAGGCGGGCCGCGGGCGCCGGGCATCGGGGCGCAGGGGGCGCGGGCGCGCGCCGGCAGCCTCGGGGCGGGGGGCGCGGGCGCTCTCCGGGGCTCCTGCAGCCTCGGGGGCACGCGCGCGTGGGGCGCGGGGCGCCAGCTTCGTCCCCCCGGGAAACCCTCCAGTGGCCGAACTTTTGGCCGCTCCTCGCGGGGAGTTTGCAGACGCCCCTCTCGGGGGCAGGTGGAAGGGAGGGGACCCCCTTAGGACTCGGCTTTCTCGGGCGCCTTTCCGCATCTCCCCCTCACCCCTTCCCGTGTTCTGCCAGGCTTTTCTGCGGCTGCTGGTGCTGCTTTGTAGTGAGACAGTTACCCCCTCTGGTCTTCTGTACCCGAGGACTCCCCTAGGATCCGAGGACGGAGCCCCCTTGGCCACGCGGATGTCCCCGCTGTGCCCCGCCGGCCGACTCTTGGGGACACGCTTTGCTGTTACTCCTTGAGTTCTGTAGGAGGGAATGTGCCTGAGGGCTCCATTTGGCAGGTAGCATTTCCTTCCAATAATTCCCCTTTTCTTTCCTGTGATTAGCTTACCTGGCTCTCCTTGAACATCTTTCTTTTCTGGGAAACCTTCCTGCTGTATAAACAAGGACCGGAGTATTACTACATCCACCAGATGTTGGGGGTAAGTGGGAGTGGGTGACCCAGTGAATGGGCTTCCGTAGACAGAGGATGCTGTAGGCTTATTTGGTTCTTCCATTCATTGAAGGAACCATGGTTGATCACTTTAGAAACATAGTATAGTCAAGTCTAGTCAAGTTTTCTCACATTGTCACCTCCAACTTGCTCAATGAAAGTGGAGTCTTAAAAACCAAACTCACTTTCTACCAAAGTTGAAGAATCAAACTACTGACCCAGGTTAGCAGTGAGGGAGAAGCATTGGCACATATTGCCAGTGGGAAATGAACGAAGGAGCGCCTCTCCATGGGGGCCAAGAGATGACAAACTTTAGTTTTTACGTATTTATCAAGGAGTAAAGGACATTGCTTTTTCTAAGCAACATTCAAAGAAGCATAAGACCTATTGAAAATCCTTAGGACAGCCATAAAATACATTGTATTCATTCTATTCATTAAGAAAAAAATGCATTTTAAATAGGATAAATTGCTTTACTTTTCATGGTTTAATGAGCATTTTAAATGATGACAGTTTAAGATGAGTTTAACTCAACTAATCTTCCATTGATTGTTTTACTTATATTTATATTTAATTAATTAATTTTTTTGGTTTGTTTGGGTGCCTCAGTGTTCAGGGTTTACTCCTGGCTCTGCACTCTGGGATCACTGTTGGCAGTACTTACAGGACCATATAGGATGTTAGGGCTCAGACTGGGGCTTGGCGGAATGCAAGGTAAACGGCCTCCTGCTGTACTAGCACTCCTACCCCAGTACTTATTTATCATTAAATCTCATTTTCCAGAGCAGTGCTGGGTGCATATTGTAAACTGAAGCTTGATTAATTAATTGCTATTGTATTTCACTAAAGAAATGTTACTTCCATTATTTGGTGATTACATATCTGATATTTTGAAAATACTGCATTTTAAGACTCAAGCTTTCCGTAATTTAAAGTTTATAGAGGTTGTCCATGTAGCTATCTTCCCTGCCCCTTGGCCACCACACGATCACCCCCCCCCCCCCATTTTCAACACCTCCCACAGGAATGTGACTTTTGTTACTGTTGATAAAGATTGACACATTATAATCACGCAATACCTATTTTTTTTACTAAGTGAACTACTGAAAATGGATGTGTGCTATTGTAGAATTTCAGGGATTCATTTCATATGTCTAACAGAACACCTACCACCACTCATTGACACCCCAATGCCAGTCTCCTGAGATGTAAGCTGATTTCTAAATGTCTCATTTAACAAGAACAACTCCTTATGAATTTTTAAGATTTTAACTTTTCTAAGCTCTTTTGGAATGTATTATTTTCAGCCTCAATTACTTTTATTTTATTTTATTTTTGGTCTTTTGGTTTACACCTGGCACAGAGGTTACTCCTGGCTCATGCACTCAGGAGTCACTCCTGACGGTGCTCAGGGGACCATATGGGATGCTGGGAATCGAACCCCGGTCGGCCGTGTGCAAGGCAAACACCCTACCTCCTGTGCTATTGCTCCAGCCCCATCTTTTTTATTTTATTTTATTTTTGGCTAGCCTCAATTACTTTTTAAGTGAAAAGAAACTGTAATATTTGTACTTGCTTTGTAAAGCAATATTTAATCTAATATTTCTCAAGTTTATCTTTTGTAATGATTAAATAATTGCAGTATTGTTTTTATGATGAAAATTTTCAGGCAACTTTTAAATTATAATGATGTGACATATAAAAGTGATATAACTACTGTTTATTTGTTTTGCTTATTTAATAATTGTGTATGGCAAGCTACTCGTGGTGTACTAGATATGCCTCCTCATTCCCCTGACCCTGAAAGAGTCCCCAGTATGCCATCCAGCTACACTGGCACACAACAAGGAGGAATGGAGATGTTACAGGCGCCTGCTCGAGCAAATTGATAAACAGGATGACAGTGATACAGTGATACATAATTAATAGTTTGTGACTTAGATCTTACAGCTTTTTCCTCACTTCTAAGAACATGATCCCACCCTAGGAAAACTAGAGGGATCCTACAAAGTCTATAAGTATTCTGATACTCTAAGTCTCTTTTATATGAGTTTGGTTCATAACTATTGTGATGGTTTTTCTGGAGCTGATTTGCTATAGTCCCATTTAAAACACAAAAGCATCTTAAAACACAAAGAGAGTGTACTTTCATTGCTTACTGTTTTGGTAATAGCACTGAGTATAAAGGTGCTGTCGCTCATCTCCAAGGTGCAAGGTAGAACATACTTACATGCCTACTATAGGTAAGGAGGGTCCACAAGATTTATTTATCAGACTTACACAGACAGAAAGAATAGTTAAGTCTGGGTCATAGTTTGAAATCATTGGTATCCATTGAAAATTTACTCAGCTACTTAGAAGTTCATTTAACTAGTCACTCAATAGATATTTAAAATATACAATATTAAACACATCACAACTATTTTGTTTAAAGCAGTAAACTGTTCCCATGAGAAAACATAGTGCAAGAAAGCCAAAGGATGTTCTTAAGTTTCTTTGAGGTGAGTGTCTGAGCTAGGATTTGAATGTCTGGATTTTGCTTTTCCCTCATACTGCACAGATTTTCTAAACCAATGAACCTTATGTGGTCCACTTTATCTTACTATTTTTGTTATTTGATTTTTGAGCCACACCTACGTCCGGCAATGCTCGTGGTTTACTCCTCGCTGTAACTTCAGAGACCAGGCTTGGCACGGTTTGGGGACTGTTTGTGATGCTGGTGATCCAGCCCTGGTTGGCTGCTTGCCAAGCAAATTCCCTACCACTAAATATCTCTCTGGACCTAGGTACCCTATTTTAGGCACTTGTGTTGCTGATGAGCATCTTTCATTTATTGGTGCTGCCCAATAAAAGTATAATAGTCTTATATAATTTTTTTATAATTTTTTTCCTCTAAGGGTTGTGGAGCTAGTCCATCTTGTCTGCTCATGTGTGAGGCACTGACTTCCACCCATGGCAGTGTTGCAGCTCCCACATACTGCTTCGTGTAGCCTTGGTGGAGCACTGGGCTGGGAGGCCTAACTGCAGGGCTGAGCAACAGAGGAAAATTTCCCTCTTGGTTTTTGGAGCAAGGGAAAGGAAGTTTTTAAAAGAAAGCTAAAACAAGCACACAAGCAAGTAAATAGACAAGAAAGAACAGGCCAAAAGATATCTTTCCTTACCTCCCGTAGCAGCCTCGTACTTTAGTCTTTTTCTGATGATGTTACACAAGTAATTTATTACACACTTGTTTTTACAGCAGGATTTGGTACAGCGAGTAGAGCGCTTGCCTAGCATGCAGCAGACCTGGGTTTGATTCCTGGTTCTGTATATTGTCCCCTAAGCCCACCACAAGTGATCCCTGAGCCAGAAGTAAGCCCTGAGCGCTGCTGGGTGTGGCCCAAAAACAAACAAACACACAAATCTGTAGTCCATACACAAAACTCTTTAAATTGATGTACAGTAATATTCCAAATTAGATTATGCAGTAGTTTCTATAGTAAAAAAAGTTTTGTGATAAATGCATAATTTCTGGCAGAAGAATGTTTTAAAACTACTAATCATTGAAATGTCACACATATTTATATTTTTCAATTTTTTGTTGAAGAATAGGGTTCAGATCTTGCTTTTAAATAAAGAACCCATTGATTTCTTAGGCCGAAATTGGTTATTTAAGAAAACTAAGTCATGGGGCTGGAGCGATAGCACAGCGGGTAGGGCTTTTGCCTTGTACATGGCCGACTCGGGTTTGATTCCTAGCATCCCATATGATCCCAGGAGAATTACACCGCCGGGAGTAGTTCCTGAGTGCATGAGCCAGGAGTAACCCCTGTGCATCACTGGGTGTAACCCAAAAAGCAAGGATAAAAAAAAAGAAAACTAAGTCATTGGACTTGCATTCTAATAGAAATTTCTGATACATGTTTTGTGACCAACTCTTAAATATGTGATTCTGTTATTCCCTGTTTTAAAAGATAGGTCGGGGCTTGGGAGATAGTACAGTGGGTAGGGCATTTGCCTTGCACGCGGCCGACCCAAGTTCGATTCCCAGCATCCCATATGGTCCCCTGTGCACGACCAGGAGTAATTCCTGAGTGCAAAGCCAGGAGTAACTCCTGTGCATCAATGGGTGTGACTCCCCCCCAAAAAAAATAAAAGATAGGTCATTTTAACTCTGGACATGGTCTGTGGACATCCTTATGATCATTCTCATGTAAATACGAGTTGTATATAACTTAATTAATGTAAAAACTTTAATTTGAGGAGAGAATATGTTTCATGGCACCCTTGTATATAAAACCATTAGCTTTATATCTTATTGCCACTAAAATAATTGTTGTGGTAGAATGTTTAAATCTACTTATTTGAATCTAGTTATTGTCCTGGTGCAATGATCAGGATTAATTTTTTCAGTTTGTCTTAAAGTTGTTATTTTACTATTATATGTCATGGATAATTTTTCCCTGTTTTAAAAGTATCTCTTATTAAGATGACTTTGTTAATTGGAAAAAAAAAACTGGGGGGATTGATAAAATTCCTTTTCTAATCTTAAAATGGTAATCTCTCTTGATCAATTTTATTATCCTTTAAGTTATTTAGAAACAGTTTATCCTCACAGGAGGAAGTTATGTCATAAATAAAATTTTTCAGACAAATCTGATATTGTGTGAATTTTTGAGATTAAGTTGGTGTCTAGAAAACAGACCTAAGTCATTATTGATTTTAATGTTGGCTGAGAAAGAATCTGTGCCTTTTCACTTCACCTGAGAAAGAATTTGAACCTCTTATTAGTTTTAGAATAAGCTTCATTATAAACTCTTTCCTTTTGTTGCACAGAATGTTAAAATTATACCTAGAATTTCATATCTAGAATACCTAGAAAGCTATATATATATATATGTATATGTGTGTGTGTATATATAATTTCGTAGGCATACACTGTGGTCTCTATTCAAATAATATTGTTAAGTAAGTGTATTTTGGAAATATTTTTACTCCAAATATACTGTT